TATTTGTGTTAGTTGACGCAGTTACCCAAGGCTTTAGAAAACGGATCCGGTTGACTCTCTCACAGCTATGACTTTGATAAATTATAATGTGTGTGTGTGTGTGTGTGTGTGTGTGTGTGTGTGTGTGAAGAGTATACCTTGTTCTGTCTCTCAGCCTGTCTCTCTCTCTATCTCTATTTATGTCAGTCTGTCTCTCTTCGTCTTTCTATCTGCAAGTCTATCTCTCTGTCTTTCTCTTCCCACTGTATCACACACACACACACACACAAACACACACACACACACACACACAGCTGACTGTCAAGACACTTAAGACTGTGCCAGGACACACACTCCTATTAACTGAAGGGCTTCTCATTATACCCCAAGTATATTCCATACTCTCACTCTCTCTCTCTCTCTCACACACACACCATAATATAAGTGGGTGGTGTAGTGACAGTGAGTTAAGCATTAGTTCACAACAGTATCTTTTTAAGTGTATTTCACCACCAAACTAGTAATATCACATAAAATAAACATAGAATAAATATATTTTCTCTATCTACACATTGCACAAGCGGTCAAGTGGTGTATTTATTGAGAAACAAAAAAAAATCGATCAGTTTTGTAACGCGGACTAAGCAATGTTTACACTAGGGTTGGCTGGCCTATAGTTCACGTGTCATCCGTTAGGTGGTGCGTGACTGTACTGTATATTGCTCAATTTCGCGAACGTCACCAAAACCAGATTTCATTTCGCGTCAAATTTGCATGAGTATTAAAACATGACAAAATCCGCCAAGCCAAACTAGGGTGAATTATCTGACGACTGCTATTTATAAATCTGCTAAAGCCAGTCGAGTTCTACCTGTGGACAATTCTCCCTCTCTACTAGCATGCGGGTAAGAGATGTGCCGATACCGATAACGGGTTTTTGTGGATATACGTTTCATTCAACCGATACCTGTGACCCTCAAGTTCCTACCACACCTACGCACCTCTCACCCTACGTCTCTCCCACAGAAAGAGAGAGAGAGAGAGAGGGGGGGGGGTGAACTTTAGCAAATGTCAACCAGCCATGATTACCATGCAGTCTGGCGGAGACTCGGAGGGAGAGGGGAGACGAGAGTTTGGGAGAGGGGAAAGAGAGGGGTGGAGAGTAAGTGAAGAGGTAGAGAGAGAGGAGGTGAAGAGGGAGAGAGAGAGGAGGTGAAGAGGGAAAGAGAGAGGAGGTGAAGAGGGAGAGGTAGAGAGAGTAGAAAGAGGAGGCAGGGAAAGTAGACGAATTCAATGGAAAGAGGGAAGAAAGGGGAGGGGGGAAAGGGTACAAGAGGGAAGAATGGAGAGAAGATAAAAAGAGCAAGAGGGGAGACGGGAGAAGATATAAAGAGGATAAGAAGGATGAAAGGGGACGGAGGAGGAGGAAGATAAAAGAGGGAAGAAGGGATATTAGGAGAAATTGGGAAGGAATAAATAAGGAGGGAGAGGGGAAGGAGACGAGGAGGAGGAAGAGAAGGATAAAAGAGGGACGAAGAGAGAGAGAGAGAGAGAGAGAGAGAGAGAGATGTTATTTGTGTTTAGAATCGTTTGAATGAACAAGTAAAAAACATTCTCACGGTAAACACATCCCGGAGTTAACATTTACAGTGTCCGGGTCAACAAACATTCAACATTTTAACTAAACATTTACATAAATTAAACAACAAAGTCAACGCCGGTCTGTTAATTACCATATTAAGTTGTTTAAATCACTTCATTACCTTGATACACCGAACCTCTGTGTTAAAGAGAGAGAGAGAGAGAGAGAGAGAGAGAGAGAGAGCCACCCTCGGCCGTGTACCCGCCCACTCTCAAGGTCTTAACCTGGGTCAACAAGACTGAACCAATATTATATGTGTTGGCCACCTGTGTGCTCCAAAGTTTACCTCTCACCCCTCTCACCATCACCCTCACTTCTCACTCCCCTCTCACCATCACCACTCACACTTCTCTCACCCCCTCTCACATCACCACTCACACTTCTCCCTCCCCTCTCACCATCACCACTCCACCTTCTCCACCCCTGTCCACCATCACCACTCCACACTTCTCCTCCCTCTCACCATCACCACTCCACACTTCTCCCCCTCTACATCACCCTCACACTTCCCCACCCCTCTCACCATCTCCCTCACACTCTCCCTCCCCTCTCACCATCACCACTCACACTTCTCTCCCTACATCCCACCACTCCCTTCCTCCCCTCTCACCATCACCACTCACATTTCTCCCTCCCCTCTCACCATCACCCCCCACTCACCACCATCCTTCACCCTCCCACTCCACCTCCTCTCACTTCCTTTTCACCCTTGTGTCTCCTCTTCCTCCTCTCTACTTTTACTCTCCCTTCTCTCTCCCATTCACCCATTCTCTTCCATCTTTATCTCCATATGTTGCCTCCTCTTACCCTTTTCTCCCTCTTCTTTCTCTCCCATTTTCGTTTCCCTCCTCACACCATCTTCTTTCACCCTCTCTCTCTCTCTCTCCTCTCACCCCTTTCTCAATCGTCTCTTCCCTTATTCTTCTCTCCAAACTTTATCTCCCTGTCTCTTCCTCTTCTCTCTCCACTTCACTTCAAAGAGAGAGAGAGAGAGAGAGAGAGAGAGAGAGAGAGAGAGAGAGAGAGAGAGAGAGAGAGACGCCTTTCTTCGTGAGATAAGGAAGAGATAGATAAATAGACGTGAATAGAGAGCTAGAGGAAAATGATAACTATAATTAAGGGAAGGAATTGGTGAAAAATAATGAAAGTAATGACAAGAGACCAAGATCAATGGTGAATAAATAAGAAAAAAAAAAAAGGAGAGGGAGGAAGGTCAGTTAATAAAGATGAGAGAGAGAGAGAGAGAGAGAGAGAGAGAGAGGTAATGCTGGTAAGTCATGGTTTAGTGTTAATAATGTGGTAGTAGTAGATGCAGGTTGTGGTGGTGTTGGTAATGGTGGTGTGGATTGTGGTGGTAGTGTTTGAAATAATTAGTGGTGGTGGTGATGGAGTGTGGTGGTGGTGGTGGTGGTAGTGGTGAGTGGTAGTGGGCAGTATTAGATGGTGGTGGGTGGTAGTATTGGTGTTGATGGTGGTTGTGGTGGTAGTGGTGGTGGGGGGTAGTAGTGGTGGTAGTAATAGTATCAGCAGTGGTGGTAGTGGTGGTGATAGTGGTGGGTGGTGGTAGTAGTGGTGGTAGTAGGTAGTGGATGTGGTAGTAGTGGTGGTGGTTGGTAGTGGTTTTGATAGTGGTGGGTAGTGGTAGTAGTGGTGGTAGTAGTATCAGTAGTAGTAGTAGTGGTGGTGGTGGTGGTGGTGGTGGTGGTGGTGGTGTGAGGTGGTGGTGGTGGTTGGTAGTGGTTTTGATAGTGGTGGGTAGTATCAGTAGTAGTAGTGGTGGTGGTGGTGGTGGTGGTTTTGATAGTGGTGGGTAGTGGTAGTAGTGGTGGTAGTAGTATCAGTAGTAGTAGTGGTGGTGGTGGTAGTGGTTTTGAAAGTGGTGGGTAGTGGTAGTAGTGGTGGTGGTTGGTAGTGGTTTTGATAGTGGTGGGTAGTATCAGTAGTAGTAGTGGTGGTGGTGGTGGTGGTGGTTTTGATAGTGGTGGGTAGTGGTAGTAGTGGTGGTAGTAGGTAGTGATGGTGATTGCTAGGATGACGATCACGGAGTCTGTGTTACCATGACTACGGGGACGCCACAACAGCTGATGGACTACTGATGCAGCAACACGTCAGCTCTGGACCTTCTCTTAGCCAATCACAGCTCACGGAGTCACGTCTCAGCTCTGGCCACGCCCACCCTCACGCGCCCTTCCATGAGACCACAAACACAATCTCTATGGTCATTGTTGAGCTGTGTAAACGTACAAGTACAGGCCGTATCCTGATTGGCTTATTGAGCTGTTTGTATTTTACAGTAGCAGCCAATCATAAGGCAAGAGATAAGCCACGTATCACGGTCATTGTTGTGCCGCGTGTACGTTAGTGGAGGCTGTGTCGTGATTGGCTTATTGCGTTGGTTGTGTTCACTAGTGTACACAAACAACTGGAGGGCGTATCTTAAGTGATTGTGTTTGTGTGTGAGACAGGATCCTAGACGAGGCCAATGAGAAGCGACATAGTTTCCCGCACGTGAGGAGTTGCCACGGAGGTTATAAGTTCTCCGCGTACTAACAACAGCAAAAAATCTTCCCTGATTGGTAAATTAATGTGTCTGTACTGTACAAGAACACCAAACAGCCAATCAGAGGCGTCGACTGAGTCCGCCCTGCCGCAAAAACCCAAACACTATTCTGGTTGGCTGACAGCAATACCCATCAACCAATCATAAGCCTTAACCCCATCATCATAAAAACACCGCCACCAAGGTGGGTTAATGCCAAGAGGGAAGGAAGTGTCCTGAAGTGACCATAGATTAATGTCATAAAGTGCGAGAGACAGTGACAGTTTTGGGTGTCAAGGAGATACTGAACCTTGAAATGTTAAAAAAAAAAAATTTTGAAATGAGAAAAAAATAGTGGATTGTAAAGAGGCAGAACCAGGATCACGTCCAAAGGAAACAGTTTAATTAAGAGGTGTTCAGACTGAACTGTTCAAGTAAAAGTGTCCGACTACAGAGTGAATTGTCCATAGTTAATTGTCTAGACCACAGTGGCAGGAAGAACTATGACCCAGGTGACCTAGGTGACTCACCCACCACCTAGATCATGGATGGCCCTCTCAGCAACACGCCCCTTCATTACACTCACACGGTCTAGTTTATGCCTCACCTGGGTTAGTTTTCATCTCACCAGAACGACTCTGAGGATCATCAGTTTACTGTACCACCTCCACGGCACCTACTGAAACCTAATGAACTAGTTACTGGTCACCTAATTCAGCTTTCGGGCACCTGGAAGGTGAGTGTCACCTGCCTCGTACGCCCTAGTTCACCTAGACGCATTTACCCGGCCACCTCGGCGGCTCCTGTCCCACCTGGATGACCAACAAACAGGTGGACAGGATGGATGTGTGGATGTCTCGGAGTCACGTAACAGACTCCTCAACCACCAAGGTGCCTGCTGACCCGGGGGTGCTCTACCATTACGGCCACATGACTCCTGCAGAAGAGGCGAGAGTTCAATACTCACACAGGACTCTTGCTGACGACGGGCGGGCCTTCTACGGCCACAGGGGAGAGTACACCCCAGAGAGGCAGCAAAGTACCGTCTGCCAGGAGTCTGGACGGCGGGAGACCGGGAACTCTATGGGACAACAGCAGTATCCGTCCATACCACCAGTCTCCTCATTTCCCGGTATCACTCCTACCCCACACTGGTACTACCTCACTACACCTACGTCAGGGACGCTGCAGAAGAGTTCTCTACTCCCAGGATCGCAAGCTACATCGTCAGGAACAAAAGGGGAGACAGCAGCGTTAGGAGGACCACCAACAGCAGCAGCTGCGGACACAACAACACCTACCAACGCGACTCCTTATGTCAAGGGGTCATGGGTGGGCCCTACAGGGCCAAGGCGGAGTCGCCGGAGGTACCAGCTGTGGCGGGAGTCCCGACAGTTCCTGGACACTTGTTACTACCAGGATAGGCGGGGTCAACACGGAGTCAAGCTGCCCTACTGTCCTCCGGGAATGCCACAGCCGCCACCACCACCACCGCCGCTACTGCCACTACTGGATCTCCCCGACGGGAGGTCTTCGGGAAACACCAGCAAACCTCCTCCACCTCTCCTGCCCCTCTCAGATACAGGCATGATTCAGCCACCTCCTCCACACCACCTGTATCCTCCACAGGTAGACTCTGAACCATCACAACATCACTCCCTCTCCCCGCCGGAGACTTCAGCTTCGTCAAGGGTGAAGACAACACAGCAGACCACCCGTAGTTACTTACAGCCCCACCACCACTTGCCGGAGATCACCGCCACCCTACCACCACACCCCCACCATCACCAGCCCTACTGCCAGTACCACCGTCATCTCAACCTCCAGGACTACACCACCTACCCGCACCACCTCCCCCTCCCTGGAGACGGCGGGGATACTCGTCTAAGGCTCAGGTACCCACTACCTCATCCTCCCCCTCCCTGCCCACACAGACGTCCGGAGGCCCTGATCCACCTCCCCCAGCCTGTAGGGACGCAAGAGACCCTGAGGGACCAGCAAATCAGGGCTGCAGCCTACCTGAGGACCTTGTACCATCCATAACGTGATCAGGACCGTCAGGGAGGACCCTCGTGTGCTGATCAGGACCGTCAGGGAGGATCCTCGTGTGCTGTGTATTAATATACACCCTAATGTGCTTTACACACTGTAGGGTCAACGACATATAACTTTAACACAACTATAATTCTAAAACATTCTTGTTTAGTTTAATACAACTTTGAACAGTAAAAAAAGTACTGTAACACGAAAACGGCTGTGTAGTGTCCAAACAGCTGTGTATGGTGTCTAAACAACTGTGTAGTGTCCAAACAGCTGTGTATGGTGTCTAAACAACTGTGTAGTGTCCAAACAGCTGTGTATGGTGTCTAAACAAATGTGTAGTGTCCAAACAGCTGTGTATGGTGTCTAAACAAATGTGTAGTGTCCAAACAGCTGTGTACGGTGTCTAAACAAATGTGTAGTGTCCAAACAGCTGTGTACGGTGTCTAAACATATGTGTAGTGTCCAAACAGCTGTGTAGTGTCCAAACAGCTGTGTATGGTGTCTAAACAACTGTGTAGTGTCCAAACAGCTGTGTATGGTGTCTAAACAACTGTGTAGTGTCCAAACAGCTGTGTATGGTGTCTACATATGTGTAGTGTCCTAACAGCTGCGTATAGTGTCTAAACAACTGTGTAGTGTCCAAACAGCTGTGTATGGTATCTAAACAGCTGTGTAGTGTCCAAACACCAGTGTATGGTGTCTAAACAGCTGTGTAGTGTCCAAACACCTGTGTATGGTTTCTAAACAGCTGTGTAAACAGCTGTGTAGTCTCCAAACAGCTGTGTATGGTGTCTAAACAGCTGTGTAGTGTCCAAACACCTGTGTATGGTGTCTAGACAGCGGTGTAGTGTCCAAACAGCCGTGTATGGTGTCTAAACAACTATATAGTGTCCAAACAGCCGTGTATGGTGTCCAAACAGCCGTGTATGGTGTCTAAACAACTGTATAGTGTCCAAACAGCCGTGTATGGTGTCTAAACAACTGTATAGTGTCAAAACATCTAGGTATAATCATAAAACAGCCGTGTATACTTTATAAAAAAATTTGAAATACTAAAAGGTGTATATATGAAGTGTTAGAATAAGCCATTAGTGTATGATTGTGTATACCTTCAAGTGATGGAGGAGTGATGGCGTATGTGTGTGTAATATGTAAGGTTTATACACGCTGTATATACAAACAATTGAAGAACGATGATAAACATTATTTTTACATGATCCAGAAATTATAATTTATTTGTTATCAATACTTTTATAATCGTCTATAAACGGTGAGGTTAGGTTAGTGTTGGTTAGGTTAGTGTTGGGTTAGGTTAGTGTTGGGTTAGGTTAGTGTTGGTTAGGTTAGTTTTGGTTAGGTTAGTGTTGGGTTAGGTTAGTGTTGGTTAGGTTAGTGTTGGGTTAGGTTAGTGTTGGTTAGGTTAGTGTTGGGTTAGTGTTGGGTTGGTTAGTGTTGGTTAGGTTAGTGTTGGGTTAGGTTAGTGTTGGTTAGGTTAGTGTTGGTTAGGTTAGTGTTGGGTTAGGTTGGTGTTGGTTAGGTTAGTGTTGGTTGGGTTAGTGTTGGGTTAGGTTAGTGTTGGTTAGGTTAGTGTTGGGTTAGGTTAGTGTTGGTTAGGTTAGTGTTGGGTTAGGTTGGTGTTGGGTTAGGTTAGTGTTGGTTAGGTTAGTGTTGGTTAGGTTAGTGTTGGGTTAGGTTAGTGTTGGTTGGGTTAGGTTGGTGTTGGTTAGGTTAGTGTTGGGTTAGGTTAGTGTTGGTTAGGTTAGTGTTGGTTGGGTTAGTGTGGGTTAGGTTAGTGTTGGTTAGGTTAGTGTTGGGTTAGGTTAGTGTTGGGTTAGGTTAGTGTTGGTTAGGTTAGTGTTGGTTAGGTTAGTTTTGGGTTAGGTTAGTGTTGGGTTAGGTTAGTGTTGGGTTAGGTTAGTGTTGGTTAGGTTAGTGTTGGTTAGGTTAGTGTTGGGTTAGGTTAGTTTGGGTTAGGTTAGTGTTGGGTTAGGTTAATAAAATGGAAAAAAAATCTATTTTGATTTTAGTTTAACAGAATATCACCGACGATGTTAATTTAGTTAAAAAAAATTAATAGATTATTTATTTCACTATGGAAGAAAAATTAAACTAACCTTTATTGTTCATAATTCAATCAAGGGCAACGATGATTAATTCCCTATCAAACTTAACTACCAAAATGATATACATATTTACGGACAAAATTTTAAAGAAGTCAAAAGGGATTTTACCCATCAAGTATTTATTATTACTAACTCAAAACACTTCTGAATCTTATACGAAAGGAAGGCCGACAGAAGAAAGACACGATAAATGTAAATAATATGAATAAGACGAAAAAAAAGTAAAACGAAAATAAATCCCCACCACACATCAGATACCTGTAATTTAAAAGTTTATATTCGGGTCTGGCGCCACCACCACCACCACTCATGATTCATTCAGGTGTATGAGGGAGTGGGGAGAGATTGAACCCGTCCCTGCCACCACCACCCCCACCCCTGCCACCACCCTGCCACCACCACCACCACTCATGATTCATTCAGGTGTATGAGGGAGTGGGGAGAGTGAACCTGTCCTGCCACCCCACCCTGCCACCACCCCTGCCACCACCACCACCACTCATGATTCATTCAGGTGTATGAGGGAGTGGGGAGATTGAACCGTCCCTGCCACCACCACCCCCACCCGTGCCCCTGCCACCACCCCTGCCACCACCCCTGCCACCACCACCACCACTCCAGTTCATTCAGGTGTATGAAGTGGGAGAGTGAACCCGTCCTGCCACCACCACCCCCACCTGTGCCCCTGCCACCACCCACCACCCCTACCACCACCACCACCACTCATGATTCATTCAGGTGTATGAGGGAGTGGGGAGAGATTGAACCTGTCCTGCCACCACCCTGCCACCACCACCACCACTCATGATTCATTCAGGTGTATGAGGTGGGAGAGTGAACCCGTCCCTGCCACCACCACCCCACCCCTGCACCACCCTGCCACCACCACCACCACTCATGATTCATTCAGGTGTATGAGGGAGTGGGAGAGATTGAACCGTCCTGCCACCCCACCCCTGCCACCACCCTGCCACCACCACCACACCATGATTCATTCAGGTGTATGAGGGTGGGGAGATTGAACCCGTCCCTGCCACCACCACCCCACCCGTGCCCCTGCCACCACCCTGCCACCACCCCTGCCACCACCACCACCACTCATGATTCATTCAGGTGTATGAGGAGTGGGGAGGTGAACCTGTCCTGCCACCACCACCCCCCACCCTGCCCCTGCCACCACCACCACTCATGATTCTGCAGGTGTATGAGGGGGGGAGAGATTGAACCCGTCCCTGCCACCACCACCACCACCCCTGCCACCACCACCACCACTCATGATTCATTCAGGTGTATGAGGGAGTGGGGAGAGATTGAACCTGTCCCTGCCACCACCACCCCCACCCTGCCCTGCCACCACCACCACCACTCATGATTCTTGCAGGTGTATGAGGGGTGGGAAGATGAACCCGTCCTGCACCACCACCACCACCCCTGCCACCACCACCACTCATGATTCATTCAGGTGTTGAGGGAGTGGGGAGAGATTGAACCCGTCCCTGCCACCACCACCCCACCCCTGCCCCTGCCACCCCCCACCCTCATGATTCTTGCAGGTGTATGAGGTGGGGAGAGTGAACCGTCCCTGCCACCACCACCCTGCCACCACCACCACTCATGATTCATTCAGGTGGGGAGGGGGAGAGATTGAACCGTCCCTGCCACCACCACCCCCACCCCCTGCCCCTGCCACCACCACCACCACTCATGATTCTTGCAGGTGTATGAGGGAGTGGGGGAGATTGAACCCGTCCCTGCCACCACCACCACCACCCCTGCCACCACCACCACTCATGATTCATTCAGGTGTATGAGGAGTGGGGAGATTGAACCCGTCCTGCCACCACCACCACCCCTGCCCCTGCCACCACCACCACCCTCTCATTCTTGCAGGTGTGAGGGTGGGGAGAGATGAACCTGTCCTGCCACCACCACCACCACCCTGCCACCACCACCACTCATGATTCATGCAGGTGTATGAGGGAGTGGGGAGAGATTGAACCCGTCCCTGCCACCACCACCACCACCCAGCCCCTGCCACCACCTCTGAGCACCACCACCACCACTATGATTCCATTCAGGTGTATGAGGGAGTGAGATTGAACCGTCCTGCCACCACCACCCCACCCCTGCCCTGCCACCACCCCCTGCCACCACCACCACCACTCATGATTCATTCAGGTGTATGAGGGAGTGGGGAGAGATTGAACCCGTCCCTGCCACCACCACCACCACCCCTACCCCCATCCCTGCCACCACCACCACTCCTGCCATCGCTACCTCCACTTCTATCCCTGCCATCACTACCACCACCTCTATCCCTTGCCACCACTTCTACCCCTTGCCACCACTACCATCCCTGCCACTATCACCACTAGCTCTGACATCCCTGACGCAGCACTCAACACGCTGGTCGTATAATGTGTGGGTGTCTGGGGGACTTGGGAAGGTGTGGGGGGAGGGGGGGGCACCTCACTCACACCTACCCCCTGTTATTGTTGTGGGGTGGTGGTGAAGGGGTAGGGGTGGTGGTGAAGGGGTAGGGGTGGTGGTGAAAGGGCGTAGTGATGGTGATCATTACGAGGTCATGAGACGCACTCCGATTCTATCCTCTTTTGCGTCCATCTTGCGTCATTTTTGCTGTGAGTCGTCTGTAAAAAAACAATTGCATCTCACAGTGTGTTTTAGGGGAGAGGACGAGCGTGTGGTGGTGCCTGTGTCTTGTTCTCAGAGCGTCTGGTGTCCCGTCTGTATGAAGAGGTCCTTTTTTTTTTGTCTTTTGATGTTTACTTTTAAAAAAATTCTGTTTTTTTTTTATGTCGCTTTGAAGATTTTGTTGGCTTTCTTGGGCAGGTAAGAGTCAGCCCCCTTGATCAATGA